TACCAGATAGCTACGCTAAAGCCGAAAATTTAGTAAAACGGCCATAACTCGTGAAGGACATTCCAGAAGCATGAATTCTTCTGGGTTTATACTAGTGTCACTGAGTTCTAACTATGGACAAATTTTGAGCCCGATCAGCGTTCATCACTTGAAACCTTTCCATTGTCAGTGAAAAATATATCTGAGAAAATCAGCATTATTTTTGATTATTTGTCTGCAAACCTAATTTTTCCTATGAGAGTGTCGCATTTTTCATGATAATCCGATTAAAATCGATTGAAAAAGTAATCTACTCCATCAGCTATCTTTGATTATCTCAGTTGTAATTTGATTTCAATCGTTAATCGCTCTTAATCTCTTTAATCGATTAAAATCTTTATCTAAAAGAAATCCAACTTAGGAATTTTCATTTGATTGTCAAAGATTACTGGGGTATCAATTTGATTTTAATCATTAATCAATTTTAATCTATTCAATCAATTTTCAAGGTTTTTGGAAATATGATTAAGGTCTATGTAGAACCAAACGATTTGTACTAGTATGAGGCATTTTAGTCAAAGTATTAATTGCTAGTGTAATAACGTTACATAAAAATATCGTGTAATGTTTATTAAGACAGAAGTTCTAGAACGAATACGCTCTACATAATTACCCAGGTCGAACAGGCACAGTCGTATACGATCGTATACGGAGAAATACGACCAAATACATGGCTCAGTATTACGATCGTAAATCTTCGTGTCGTATACGGAGTAATACAGCGATATACGGAGAAAAATACGATCGTTTATCATTTTTGTATACGCAGTCTGTATAGGGTGATCGTTTTACTTTGTATTTCTCTGTAAACGATCGTATTGCAGCGTATACGGTCAAGGCGATATACGATCCTAATACTGAGCCATGTATTACGGTAAAATACGACCGTAAACGATCGTATCGAGGTCGTATAGGGTTGTTTGCAGTCGTATACGAAGTCCGTCATCGTCGACCGGGGTATGAACAATATAAGTGCTTTTTCCAAAACATAATTTACACAATCATTACTGTTAACAATAATTAATCATACGTAAGATCACTACCTAGTCTCGCTGCATTATATCGATATAATGAAGATAAAATCTATAGATTATTTGTAATGTCCAAATTCTATTTTGAATGAATGAAATATCATATCGAAAATTGAATAAAATTTGTATCATATAGAGATTTCAACGTCTCTAATGATGTTTCAACAAGCATCAGACGGTGTTTCATTCTCGAGATCACCGCGTCATAAAATATGGATTTTGAGTGAGAAATTCGAGAAAGACATAAAAGTCTTGACCCATCACTATAAAATGCTTCATATCTTAATAAATTTTTCATCATTGTTCACCATTGTGAAATATCTCAAAATGCAATCAAAGGTTTTTTGTTTATCAAGTTAATAAAAATCTATCTTGCTTTGTTTATGAACTGTGCATACGTGAATAAGGTGAAGAACCTCAACAAGGTGATATTGGATATATCTAGTTCCAACTGTTTAATCATTGAGTAGTTATTTCTTTTTAATATTAATATGTACACGTTGTACTACTGGCAAACGAAGCAGATTTAAAGAACATATATAGATTGATAGAAATTTAGACGCATAAAAAAAGTATCGAGAAATAATAAAGTTATTTACAACCATGTAAGACTTCTAATACGTTCGAGAAATTCTAATTTTCAAATTGAATTTCCATAATGGAGAGGAAAAAAAGTGTACTGATATGTTTTTGAATTGAAAACCTTATATATGATAAATCTTGTTCAATTAACAATTAAGTCATTCATAATCCGTTTCTACTCAACATTGACTTGTAAGAGAAGTCGTTGTTTTATTTTATTTTTATTTGAAAGAAAATCTAACATAGAAAGAAGAAGTTGAATTTTTCTGTTAGAAATAATCGTTATATAAGCATTTGTTCACTTGTGAAGAAATAATAAATACAATTTGCATCATGAACGATTATTTCACATTAACGAATGGCAGCTACCATTTTTGTATCACGATCTATGAAAAAAATATTGACATGATTATATACGACAATTACCACAAATACAAAGATAAATTTGTCACTTGAATTAGTAATACATTGAGGTTTTCAACAAAGTTTTATGCAATTGCAAGCTGTTTAACTATGCCCGCAAAGGACTGACGCGACGATTTTATTCAAATTTAACGGTTGTGTGATTCCATTTGAATCATATTCATAACCGTATTCAATAAGTTTCTTTAATATTTTCTCAAGTTCAGGATAGATTTCAGTTGATTGAGAATGAGATTGATCATGAGCTCGAAATTCCTATGACCATCATTTCATATGATCTATGTAGAGAATGAATACTAGAATTGAAGACTTACGAAGATCTGCCTATTGACTACAGTCCGTGAGAGACCAATTTTTTTCTTAGCACCTGATCTATGTAAATGAATTCTAATATCTGATGCTTTGTCAATTTCACCTAAAATATTTGTTCAGTTTTATACTAGAAAATAATTTCGTTTATTAAAATTATTCACTACGTGTTCCTTTTATGAAAAATAGTTTCATTTATTTATTGTTGCTTTTTTTCTAATCATTCTACTCCTATTCTTTATATTCATGTATCAAGATGAAAAATTACTCGTCCATATTTTTGATAAATCCCAATGAATCAACAAAGTTCATTGGTATTTGACAAAAGTAGTTGTCCATGTCAACTACTTCCAGTCTAATGCATTCCTATTGATACTACTATTCTTATTCAAAATTAATTTTAACTAATTGGTGAACAGTGGACTAGTAAACAAACGCTTTCCATCAATTTTTTTACTCAATAAAAAAATTTATTAATTATCTATTGAAAAGACGTTTTAAAAAAGCTTGGAATTTGATGTTCAATTTATTGTATTTTGATAATTGTCAAATGAAATCGAAATTTTCATTATAAACATATAAATATTGAATTACAATTTCGAAAAACTAGAGCATTAAGAAAATCTTCATTGTGTACAAAAACGTTTTCATACAATAAAATACGATAGACTCTATTGTTCTCAACAAAATCTTTTTTAATCAAAAATATATTTGATAGATTAAAGTAAAATTTCTAAATATTCAAAGAAAGTTTTGATAGCCTCATTGACAGACGAGTGAATCTCCTCAGATGTCCCCTTCAGATTTTAGTGTTGTTTTCCCGATAGATAGTACATAGTGTTCCAATAGAAACCCTAAAAGGATTCGGGTTCGTATTGAGATCAAACTAAGCTAGAGAATGTTTAAAGTGTCTATTCTTTACAGACCTTTGCAGGACCTGAGTTTTTTTGGGAAAACCGATATTTTCTAATTTTGATCTGAAACTGTGTGTATATAGAGAACTGAACTAGGCTAGTGTTCATAAAAGATTCAGAAGTTTTGAGTAAAGTCCCTTCAAGATATGAAGCTTTCAAAAAAGGAATTTCCCATACCCTATCCATGGAAAAAGGTCTATATCTTGAAAGTTTCATTTCTCGAATAGACGTTGTTCAATACTTCTGAACTTTTTTTATAGAAGCTACTCTAGTTGAGCTCTCTCTATGCGCAATATTGCAGACCAAAATTTGAAAATACGAGTTTTTCGAAATCCGCGGATTCTGCAGAGGGCTCTAGAAAATAGATACATTAAAAATTTGATAGCTTAGTCCAATCTCAATAGAAACCCAAAATTTTTTAGTGTTTCCAGTAGAACACTATGTAATATCTACAGGCAAAAATCACTGATATCAAACGGGGACATCTGAGAAGGTTCTCTCGTGACAAAGAAACAAACATTTTTTATTAAAACATTTCAATGAGTAAATTTAAAGTCTTCAATCAAAGCGATTTTTTTCTTGATTTGTATTTCATTGTGAAATATACTTTTAGGTATTGGTGTCGTTCTGTTTCATCAAAAATCCTCTTAATTAACTCGTTTCATCGATAGAATTTGTTTCCCTTTTTGTAGATACATTTTTTTTCTGAAAAATTTGAAAAGCCTACTGAAGAAATCTTGCCTCGGAGGGAACCAAATAAACTAAACAGTAATAACACTATCCGATATTTTTCAAACGAATGCTACCATCAGTAAAAAGGTCACAAAAAAAGTTTTCAATTAGCGGATATGAGTGCGGGTGTAAGTATTGGACTTCTCTACTTTCACATAGACCTGAATTGAAGGGCTGGCATCACCGACTTCGTGCAAATATTACTACCTCCAATCCAAACTTATACGTAGTTATTTATGAATTAAGGAAGATTATACACTCAACATAGCTACGATGAAACAACTTGACAACAATATGAACAAATCTTCACGAAATAAAAGAAAACTATTTTTCGGAGTCAATGAATTCTTGATTTAATGAAACAACACGAAAAAAGCTGTCTGTCATTGAATGAATATTTTGACAAGATTAGTAAAACAACTGATAAAAAATCACATTCATATTTTATTGTCACTATCTTATAAACTGTTGAATTATATCCTCATTATCTATTACAACAATGCCTTTCTCTAATACAATGTTGTATTTGCTTTTCTTCATACAATACTACTGAATAAAAGAAAGTGTCGATGAAGCAGATAAATTATTTAGTTAGTGTTAATTTTTCAATGAAATGGAACCAAATCCTACATATTTATTAAGATCAATGTACATAATAAAAACTTGAGTAATGATATAACTCTTCTTTGATCTTAATTAAATCTTAAATGATCAAAGAAATGCAGTAGGTCTTCACATGTCTAGACAATAAGAAATGTTTCTTCTCAATTGATGAAATCTCAAGGAAAAATAGATTGAACATTTGATCTAAGTCCTTTTTCAACTAAAAATCAATGGAAAATGTTTGACACTCTTAATTATAACATCAATCAATTTATCAAAAGATACTCACAATACATGGATAATACAGGTGAATGATAACGTTCATATTCATCAGTTAATTCTTGTGCTTCATCAAAGAAGGATGCATGACTAAGAAAATCAATCTAAATTAATACGTGAATAGAAAATTATTCAAATTTCTAGAAATAATCTTTCTCATATACCATAGTGACATAAATTTTCTCTCTTTTGTTTTGAATATTTTTGAAGATTGAACGAGCTTCATCCACAAGTCCTGAATGTGAACATGCATTTAGAACACAAATATGTGTTACTTCATTAATTAATTCTGATGGCATTTCACGATAAAGTTTAATTGCTTGAATATCCATTTCATTTAAATCATAACAATTAACTGATTATTAACAAAAAATAAAGTCTTTTTTTCACAAGAAAAATCAGAAAAACAGACTCATTGCTGTGTATCCAATATGCTCTGGTTGAAGAATTTCTTCAAAAATTTGTTTGGCTTGATCGACACAGCCCACTTTGCCAGGAAGTCATTTTTTTCAGTGAGAAAAATATTCCAATAGAATTTATTTTAACTTTACCCACATATCGATTAATACATTTTGAATATTATTATCAACAAAAAAAGAATCAGAAATTCGTTTAATAATAGACTGACATATTGAATCATCACCAATTTCGGATGAAGATTTTATAATACAAGGATAAATAATTAAATCTGCTTCAAAACTATCAAGTTTCATTTGTTTAAATAAATTTAATATTTTTAAAGGATTATTTTCTTTATTAAATCCACACACTAGATTTCCATAATGGGTTACAGATTTTGTCATTTTTGAAAAAAGTATTTCTGCATTTGAACAATCACCACATTTAATCAATGCATCAAATAAAGAAGTTGACAGACAAAAATTTGAATGAAAAAATTTTTTGGAATTTCTTTTGAGACTGTTTTTTACTAAATTTAATGCTTCTTTTGTTCCTAATTGAGCACAAACATTAAATAAAAGATTTATAATGATTTCATCAGGATTTTTAATCTTATTGAAAAGATCAATCGCTTTATTCGTCATATTATTTTATACATAACCTGAACAAAGACTTAAGATTGATGCAGATTTTAGTTTTACTCTAGCTATCAGATCTAAGTGATTTTTAGTGAACAATATTATGATTATATTTCTATCTTCGTATTTCAATTTGTCCGACATATTAGCTTTAATTGATATTATTGTGAGTGGTATATCGTTATTTGTCTATGTCTAACATTAATTTCATCATTCCATAATATTTTATTGAGAATTCTCAGAAAGACTCGAAGTAGAAAAAAAAACTTTTAACAGCATTGGGAAGTGAAATGGTTTTGGAATCAGCTCAGACATGAGTAGGATTACTGTCGAATCTGATAGTCTTCAAAGAGATGTAATCGAAAGGCATGAACTTTTTAGACGCACATACTTCAGC